AAACTAGCATAACACAAAATCCGTAATCCGTTTGTATATATTGCAACGAAGGCTTATACCATATCATCGTTGCTGATAGGAGAGATGATCGTAATGTGTTTGATCTCCTGTAGTGGCATTTTGGCATTGAACCAAATCAATATGGCGGAGGAGGTGGATTGAGATCTGTTTTATCATTTGACTAATGTAATTCATCGTTTGTTTTTTTTTTTTGTAATTTGTAGGTATTTTTGATAGTTCTAATAAAAATTTGTTTTTTTTCTGTTGCAAGTAGAGAATTGACCAATGGAGAATATTTGACACGTAGGGTTTATAGAATCAGATTTCTTGGATTCGAGTTTACGGGTATAAGCTATAAGGTTGGAGACTATACATATCAAACAAACATACATATACTATCAAATAAAGATGAACAAATGTACATGACACGCACATCTTCTATCTAATTTCACGAAAAAATGTTCATGTGACTAAAAAAATATAATATTATTTTGAAACCATAATCCATCAGAGCGATAGAAGTTGGAGACGAAACATATAAACAAATACACTTGAAACACATATCTTCTACTTTTTTGGTCCAACACATATCTTCTATCTAAACTAACAAGCTTTTATATAACTTTTTTTTTGTTGCTAAAAAAATTTTATATAATTTAAAATTAAGGATAACATCATTATGAAACCATAATCGATCATGAGCTATAGAGGTCGGAGATAGAACATAGCAAATAAACTTAAATAAATATGAACAAATGCATAAACATCACACATCTTCTATCTAAACTGACCGATTTCTAGAAAAATTTATTATCTAAACTTAATAAATTTTAAATAAAATTTATTTATGTCAAATAGGAATCTGAATCGATCAGTTATAAAAATCTACGGAACTCATATAAGAAAAATAACTTTGGTAATTGAAATGTTGCATGTTGTAATTCATAGCTTGAGATGCACAAATCTCATTGAAGACGGTTTGTTTTCTTCATAGAGATTTAGCTTGAGCTGCACAAACAACTGAACAAGATCAAAGGCTTTCCATATCCAATAATAAAATGACTTCGATTTTTTCTAATACATATTATGTCGGTTTTGAATTCGTATAGTGTGACACAATGACATCTATCTACTAACTAGACTATATGATTTTAATAAAAAAAAATTCAGATTAAAAAAAAAAATAGAATCCAAAGAAAATGTAAAGAAAAGTAACTAGTAATTATTGTAAAAAAAATCAATGTCTAAAATATTTTAGAAAATAAAAATTTAAGAATGAACAAATCTAACTAAATATATAAACTTTATTATAGGGGCTTAAAATGTTTTTTGTAACAAATACCCTAAAAATATTGACCCTGTCCTACAATATAAATAGATATAAAAATCAAAATATTGGATACAAGTTGAAATACACCAAAATACAGGGGCTAAAGTTAAATTTCCAAAGTCACTGGACTTTATAGTATTTTAAAACCCGACCCGACCCGCTATATGAAACGATTGGAGAAACAGAGATACTCGCGCTTGTTCCTACATTCGCGCTACAGC